TTTATGTAGTGATCTCCTTTAACTGTAATAATGATCTCCTTTAACTGTAGTACTAATTCTTTGTGGATAACTAATCATGTTTCAAGGTTTTGTATCTCGGGTTACACTTCAGCGATGTGATGTATCAGTAGTCATGAAATCAGCAAACAGCAGCGTGCCTAGAGGTATGGTAGCAAAGGGGCTATGCTGCAGTGCCACCGTGTCTGAATTGCTTTTCTCGTTCAGAAGCTCGTTGTTTCTTAGATATATACATTTGAAATGTCAAACTGAGTGCTTTCTGGTCTCCTGCATGCAGTCAGAATATCTATACTATTAATAATTTATGCATTTGAGGAAAAGCATATCAGTTAGGTGTCCTTATCTGATGAAACCAACTAAGTAGTTTGAAATATATTTGAAACTTTAACTTTGTGTCCAGCAACTCCAGAGAGTAATGCACAAATACTGTTTGATCCATAATCTGCATCAGTAGTTGAAAACTTCGGATACATATCACTAATTGAGAACAAGAACAGTCAACATCTACATTATACAAATGATGCTGTTGCATTTCAAAACATTACTAGAACATCAATATCTGCATAACTCAAGTTTGCTATTGTCATGAATGTACGTTTTGCCTAAAAAAGCACATGCTAATGCAAAGTTGTTTTGTTTTCAGAGTGATTATGTTGCATTACCATTAATTCATGTGTGCACTGTGACAAGATGTAATGGCGTATCATGTTGCTTTAATGTAATGAATCCAGTACTCCCAGCTCTTAAGTCGTGTTGCTGGAAATGATTACATAAAGCAGAAATGACTGTGACTAAAACCCTTGCAAAGCTTTAGAACTCCTGCACATTATAAGAAGCTTTTTGCAGGGTTTAAAGTAACTTCTTCAAAATTTACTGAAGTCTTCTCTTGGTAATATTTTTATTCTTCATTTTTTTGGCATTCCACTGAAATTTGCATTATCTTTTAAACATTGCAGGGGCTGTGCTATAATTTTGTGCAGATGTGTATGTTAAGTGAACATGATGTGCTTATTTGTTACATTTATGCTACTTTTCTTTCTTTATCTGGGTAAGATGGATGAAATTATGTATTAAATAAAAACATCAGTGATTTAGCCATGACCATTCTCTGCAGGTCCTGTAAGACTACAAACATTGTTTTTAAATCTAAGGTGGTTGCAGAAGTTTCTGAGTATCTTTTAAATCTCAAAACCATAAAACTCAAAGTCTCTAAACCAGCTAAATCTTGCTCTGTGCTAAAAGACCCTCCTAAGAGTCTGGCAGCTTTTATGAGTTCATGTGCCTTGAACAGAAAGTTCACCATTCACTCAGACACTCAACCTTCGAGGAACTAAGGATAGCATATCTTACAAGAATGACCTTGCTTCAGAAAAAAAAAAAATCATCTTTCTCTTTTCCATTTCTGTTAACTTTTCTTTAGATTTTACCTTTTTAGTAGATAAACATAGCACTTGAACTACTGCAACACGTTGTTCAGTTCACACGTAGCCAAGCAAATACTTGAAGGGTTTTCATTTTAGCACAGGTCATTCATGTTCCTGTGTTGTCCAGCTGGAACTGTCATTTACAAATTGGGTAAGTGAGATATTACAAAAATTGTAGTGAGACAGTTTAATATCATGAAGATCAAAATATATAAATTAAAGGAACCCTCTTCCCCTGCCCCCTGTAGCCATATCCCAGTCATGTATCTATATATATGTAATATAGGATATAACCATATCCTTTTTTCCTGACCTTGAAGTAACTTGAAGCTGTTGGGTTGCTTTTTTAATAAGGAAACTTTTAACTTTGTTCCTAGCAATGACATTTTAAAATAGAAATGATCAGTATAATGTGCCACTGTTCAGTCAGAGATTTGTGATTTATATAGATTTATTTTATTCTAAGTGCCATCTAGCTATGTTCATTTGAGTGAAAGTCATAAATATGTAACTAGATCCAACAGTATTCCTAACTACATTTGTAATCACTAAGAAATTGTTTTGATTTAGAAATATCTTAATACTTCAGTTTTGCTTTAATGGAAAGGTAGGAGTTTCCAAAATAGAAATATATTGTTTCTGTTAAAGATTTTTTTTTTGTATGTGCATGCAGGACCTTGTTCCAGTGCTCAGTTCTGCTTATATGATGTTGTAATTCTGAAATATTCTTAACCAAATGACTGATTTTTAGAACATTAATAATTCTGCTGAGGTCAGTGCCACTTCTCATGTACTTAAACTTAGGCACATAGTTAAGCATCATCTTCAGGTAGAGCCAAATTATTATTCTGAGCAATAACCATGTTAAATTATTTAAACAACTGTAATTGATAATGTGGGGCCCAAACTTATCACCCTTGTCTAGATGAGGAATCTTTTTTTTAATATCAGATAAATACTTTCATTGGGATTTTTGGAGGGGGGTGGGCAGGCAGAGGAAGGAGCAGGGGGTAATATAACTTTCACGAATAGCAGTTGAGGGCACAGGCACCTGGGTTGTGCTCTGGTTTTGGGCTGGTTTTCTTTCTGGCAGCTTCACACAGCACTGTGCATTCTGACTGCATTATCTACACGGTCAACAGTTTTGTACGTAACAGGCTTTTTTTATGTAATACGTTGGTGGCTGTTCCATGTGGCCGCATTTATTAGCGGCAAACCCCACCATTACTGATTTACAAAGTGAACATGCTTCTGTGAAATCCTAATGGTGAAAAACTGCTACTTGGAGGTACTCGAGCTGAATTTCCATTCGAGGTGAAATAAAGCCAAGTATGTGAATGTCAGCAAACTTGTTTATAGGGGCGGGTGGTAAAGCATGCATTATTGAGAAGGTTGAGTCATGAGGCTGCTGGGGTTTGTCGTATTACATCTGGCATGTCAGTCAAAGCTGGGACAGCTGCTGCCTGTCACTAGTGCTCCGGTAGGTCATTGTCCATCCATCAGCATATCAGCCAGCAGCCCCAGTAGATTTGGGAAGAGCACTTTGCCTGGACCTATGTGCCTTTTTGGAATTATCATTGCAGCACTTTTAATGCTCTTTTGAGACCAATAGAGGATTGTTTCATCGAAGAGCTGATATTTTTCATGTATAGGCTCTTATTAGAGAAAATATTTTAGTATTTGTGTTTTGTTGGTAGTTCACAGAAAATAAAAAATTGTATTTAATTTTATAAATATTTCTGCATCAGCTTAGATACTTACTTGGTTTTCAAACCACATCAAAGTACTTTAAAAAGTGATGTCAAAAGTTGAAATACAGTCAGTCCAAACAAAATTCAGTAAATCCTGAGAACAGTATCATTCACTGAATCGGTATTCATTTTTTTCTACATACATTGCCACAATAAAGATCTGTATGCATTAAGAAAATTAATGTGAAAATTACAGCTACCACTATTAAGTGCAAGTATGTGTTTGAGCTAACAGTACACTTAAAGCGGCGTGCTTGCATTTGAACTTGGTAAAAAAGTGGGACAGTCGATTTTAATTGTGAAATTAGTAGATATTTGGGCAAAATTAGTGGATGTTTTGAAGTGAAGATTTATTCTTGTGCTCAAAGATTAATTTTGTGCTTTACGGCAAGTCAGATATTGATTTAAATATGCTCCTTCAGTTTATTTCCTTAAAAAGAAATTTAATTTTGTGTTTTGGTGTATATTACTTGTTATTGCACACCACCTGAAATAATGTCAGTTGGGTGCCTCAGGTTAAAAAAAAAAAAATAAAATAACAAAACAAAAACCCCTCTTGCTGTGTCTCCTGCCAAAAGAAATACTAACCTCAGGTTTTGATAAAAGCACAGCAGGTACTTTTGAAGGGGGAAAGGAGGTTGTGTACAGGAGGCTTTTGCTTTCTTAGGGAGCTGGAATGTCTCCCTCCACTCCTGAGGTCAGACATGAACCTGCTGGTCAGCACTGCTTTTGTGGCTTGTGGTTTACACCTGTTGTGAAGTAGGATAAGGGCAAGAAGGAGGATGTCTTAAGAATTGGGAGGGAATGTTTACTTGGACTCTGGAGGACTGAGAAATGGACAAATTGCTTTATATAGTACAATGTGGCTGAGCTTCTACGGGCTGCATCCTCGTTTTCATTGGTTTATACCCATTGAAGACTTGGTTTGCATTTTTAAGTCCTTCAGTAAAATAAGGACATTTATTCGGTGATATATAAACATTGTCTAAGATGTTACTGCTGATAATGAGTAGGGTCTGCATGTGAATTTGTCATCTATGCTCTGCCCGTGTAGCCTATGTGGAACATTGCTTAACTAATAAGTGTGGTTTGGGTATTTTGTGTTAAAAAAATCACGGATCCAGACACATTTATTTGAAAGTATTTCTTTTCAGCATTTTTAGATGCCAGTTCAAATTTTTCTGCTATGTGTGTATGTATGTGACAATAGGGAATAATAAGGGTGTTTGTGTTGTGTAACTACTTGGACTACATAATTTCCCAGTTTCTGAAAATCTAATTGTTCTGAATCATGAAGTTCACAGATAAGAGAAATTTTATGTAAAGTCTTTCTTAAATATGGTTAAAGATTCTTCATATTAACTTAATATTTAAAATGTTAATTGTTGTTTTACAAAGTTGTCATTCATTTTAATTTGAGTGGCGATAAAAATGACTATTCTAGAACTTTCTCTTATTTCTAGGGGATTTTCATGGTAAAAAGCAGCTTTCAATCATGATCAGATTTGGTTTTAGCATGAGATGAAATAATTGGACTGAAGTGATATATATTTTGAGATCTTGCCTCTAATTTTTTTAATATATCCCAGGAGATAGAGGTATACAGACAAACACTTAAGTTTCCATGTATGTCTCTGATCACGGAGTTGAGAGGACATGCATTTGGGAAACTGTTTACTATTCCTATTTTTTTTATCACTGGTTTTGTTCACTCATCAATGCAAAAATAATTAAACCCCTAAATATAACAAAGGTTCAGTGCTCACTAAGGATGTTTAAAATCTCTGTCTTTGTTTGAATTTCCCAGGTTTTTATCTTTCATTGGAGGAAATGCAAATGACATAGGAAAATCAGATATGCAGCAAAAAGTAAATGCAGTAATTCAAAAAGAAGGACTGGAAGGCACAGCCAAAAGGCTAAATACAACAGTGCACACACTCCAGCTGATTATTGATGGTCTGACAGAGCCTGAAGGTTTTGACATCCGAACAGGTAAACCTTTGTTTCGCAGGTTGTACCTTCACTTTGCCTGTTCTACATACCGGTTTTTAAACAGACCGTTTTCTTCTTCTGAAGTGAACAGTAGATTTTCATGGATGTGGAACTCCATTTCTTTTCTCAGGCAAGGTAAAGGCTATATCATAGTCAGATGTTTCTTTCCAGCTCAGTAGGTAAGGAGTGTGAATCCTGTCTTAAATCACGGCATTTTCAGCCATAGGAAGGAGAGTTGTATGGCTGTTAACAAATGAAATGGTTTCAATATGTTGACTCTGTACTGATTAAATCTGCATTGGCTCTCCATCACGAAGGGGAATGCGGAGACCAAGCTGGAACAGTAGTAACCCAGGTCTGTGGAGCAGTAGTGTAGTAGTGTGTAGTTCTGCTCTTTTATTGCACTGGTTCCTGGAGACAAGTGTATTTGGAGCACATGGCTTATGACCTACCTTGGTTAAAACTTTGCAGTAGTGCTGAACAGTTTACGGTGGAGGAGAAGAAAGATGAGGTTAGCAATGAAATGAAACATCTGGAGATGCTGTTTAATGAAACTTACAGCTGGATTCTCTTATGACAGCAAGAGATAAAGGTAGGCAGGAAAGATGCAGGCTTGTAATAACAAATAATAAACTCAGGCTTAAAATTAATATTTTTGTCCCCCTTTTTTGGGTTCATTAGTAGTTTGCCTGCAGATTTTATAAGTATTTCCCACTAGTGATCTTAAAAATATGTATTTTCTGTCTCTCCATTTGTTCTGGTGGCCTCACATCTAAATTACAGTAGGATAGACTATTAATATATGAAAATATAAAAGCAAAGGACAATCTTCAGTGGAAATATTCGTATTCTGCCAATCCAGTACACTGATTATTACTGTAGACAGGCTCTGTGACTGGAGCGGGCAGCCTAGTAGCCTTGTATAGCTGTAATTTGTTGTGTTTGTAACCCTGCTAGTGACTGTCAGTGAGGAAATGTATCATATCTGACAGGGCTCAGGCAGATTGGATGGTTTGTGCTCGACACTGATTCAAAAAATAATCTTGGTTTAAGATTTGATTCCCTTGTTGTTCCCAACAGTAGAGATATGATATTAGGGAATTGCAGACAGAGTAACTTTCATATGTATTCTCTTTAAAAAGTGTAGAATTTCAATTAAATTTATTTTTTCTGAATTCTTTTAGTACAATGGAAAATAAGAAATATTACTTGGAAAAATAGAATATTTTTATCACATTAATTTAAAAATCTTTTTCTGGCCAAAGTCATACAAGGCATTTCTTGCAGGAAATTTTCCTTTTAACATTAAAATTGAACAGCTAATCAAGTAACTGAAATGAATCTGCTAGGATTGGGGTGGGGGGAGTGAAAAAACTGCAAAAATTTAAAGAAATTCCCATCATTCCTCTAAATCTTGTGCTCATTGTCCTGGATGGCTGTTTGGCTGCTCTTTTTGTTGAAGTGCCACTATGCAATATAGTGTTAAAAAAGGATTAACTATTTTGGACTTGAGCAATTAGGTACATTCCTTCAGTAGAAAATTTGATGTCAGTCAAAGCCTATTGCTGCATGTGCCAGTTTGTGTACTTGACTGAGGTTTGATCCTGTTGTTGCTTAACCCTGGCTGAAAGCCAGGTGCCCACCAAATGCTTTATCACTGCCCTTCTCAGCTGGGCAGGGGAGAGACCATTCACCAATTACTGTCATGGGCAAAACACACAACTTGGGGAAAATTAATTTAATTTATTACCAATCAGATCAGAGTAGGATAATGAGAAAATAAAAGCTAAATCTTAAAGTCCCTTACCTCCACTCTTCTTTTCTTACTGGGCTTAACTTTACTCCTGAATTTTACTCCTCTCTCCCAGCAGCACAGGGGAGACAGGGACTGGGGGCTGTGGTCAGTCCATCACACGTTGTCTCTGCTGTTCCTTCCTCCTCAGGGGAGGATCCTCACACTCTGCCCTTGCTCCACTGTGGGGTCATTCCCATGGGAGACAATCTTCCATGAACTTCTCCAACATAAGTCCTTCCCAAGGGCTGCAGTTCTTCACAGCCTGATGAAGTTACAGGCTGATTGTTTTCCAGTCCATTTTAGCGATAAACTTGTTCAGGCTGTATTTTATTTCTCAAAGGCAAATACAGGAAAATGGTTGCGTTCTTGGTGTGGAAAACCCTAATCCTCTTACCTTGCAAAAAGTAAAACAGCAGTAGGAAAAATTTGAAAGGGAAGTTGAATTGGCTCAGAAGGGTTTTCTGCAGGAGCAGAAAGTAGTAAGCAAGTAACAATAGTCATCAAAAGATCTAACTGTGACCTTAAATGCAGAATGTAATCTTTTAATATATTGGGATATTACCTGCTCATAATCATGCGTGTGTGATTTTTGTCAGTGCAAAGAAGCAGTTGATGGGAGGCATTTTATTGTGTGATGTCTTGGCGTAGACTAACGGCAAAGCTAAGAACAGTGCACTGTAGACTTTTCTGTGTGATGAGAGTGGGGATTCACCTTCCTTTATACAGATTAGGATAGGAACAGAATTTTGTGTAACTTATGTAGCTCAAGTACGAGTCACCAAGTTTTTTCTCCCTGGCTCCAAGAAAATTTCAAGAAATTTTCAGTCACTAGCTAATATTCTACATGCTTGTGATCCACTCCTGATAGTTTCATACCACAAAGTCCACTCTGCTTCCTGCTCCATTAATCAGCCTTTTAAAGTGATGCATAAAGTATAAGAAATCAGTTGTTTATCACAGATGGGTCTTTATTTAAATGTAATAAAGCAGTATTTGGGACCTTAGAGCTACCTTGGGATGACTTCTCAATTAGAAACAATCCTTAGAAAATAATGCAACCTTTTTCTCTAGTGTCTTATTTTAGTTTCTTGTTTCTTATAACAGATTTTGATAAACCTGACTTCAAGAGAAGCATAGTCTGCCTTGAAGACTTAAGTGTTGGTACTGTTCTGACCGGAAAAGTTGAAAATGCGACGCCATTTGGAGTTTTTGTTGATATTGGTGTAGGAAAATCAGGTTTGATTCCAGTGCGAAACATAACAGAAGCAAAACTTTCTAAAGTGAAGAAGAGAAGAAGCCTGGGGCTAGGTCCTGGAGAAAGAGTGGAAGTTAAAGTGTTAAATGTCGATATTCCTCGATTGAGGATAACGTTGGATCTTATTCGTGTTTTATGAAAGGAGTTTTTATGATTGAGCTTTCATTTTAAAGGTCAAGTAACGTTAGCAAGGTTCTGGTGGTACAGGCATTTAAGGAAAATGTTGAAAAATGAACTCATTTTGAAACCTTCAGCTTTGCAGCTTTTTAAAAATCTAGCAGTTTTTCCACATTTCTTGAATCCTTTCTGTTGATAATTGTTGGAACAGTTTATTGGATTACCTCCAAACAACCTTGTTATTTTGTCTGCAGAGCGAATGAAATTCCAGTGGACTGTCAGACAGATCTCTTATCTCTTCTGTCTGTGCAAGATTTGCTGCCTCAATCTTTAGTCAATACTGTATGCGCAGGCACATCTACTGCCCCCCTTCAAAAAACAGTCACTTTGCCTGTTTTCTGGTTGAGAGTCTAAAAGAGGGTATCTAAGGGTGAAAAAAAAGAAGTGATTTTTAAATTAGTCAGTAATGACAGCTTTAAAAGTAGCCTGAAAAAAGAGCATCTGCTAATACTATTGATGGTTCAGAAATATTCGGCTTTAATTTATTTGAACAACATTATTAGGAGGTCTGTTTACCTGTCTTATTCTTGTTTGTTCAGTTATCATTGATTAACACACTTAGATGTAATTGGGGATTTAAGGAACTTTGCTCAAAGGTGTCAAGACTTTTATGTTGTTCTAAACTTGTGCAAAATAAAAACAACTCTGGCCATCTTATCTCAGTGTACTGACTCTACGAGGGATTTAACAGTCCTAGTTCTCTCTTTTTCCAACGTGTGTTCCGTAAGTAACACTTCAGCTTAAGGGTGCAGCTTGTGAGGATGCACTTCTCTGACCTACTGACTGGTGTGCACCGTGGTTGAATGGTGAGCTTTAACACCAGTCTACAGCCCACATACAGCCTGATCTTGTTCATGATTTAATAAAATACTTCTAGTCTGTCTTGGACTTATTTAACTTGCCATAAATTTTTTTCTATCTTCCATATAATGTATTTTTCTGCCTATTTTGAGTGAAGAACAATTTTTCAACACTTGTCTTTGCGTACTGTGCTTTTGATGACCTTAAAAAACCTTTCTGTTGTTTGTAGATGCTTGCAAAGGTTTTCTAGACTTCTGTTTTATGAGAATGCTCATCGTTGCCTGCTCGGAGTGCCTAGCACATGAGGTTTGTTTCTCCCACCTACAGGCTTTTGGGTTTGGTGATATCTCAAGAGATTTACCAATTTGGCCAAATTGGCAAAGCACAGGTAATGGTACAATGGCAGAAGAGCCTCCAGCAACAGAGGATGTATGCAGCATTTCCAGGAAATTTTTTATGTATTGGATTTTTATTCCTTTGAAGCCATCAAACCCACGTGTAAATTGGCAGAAACTCCTGTCTTTTAACAGACAACACCTACAGCAAGTGCTAGACATCTCTGACTGGTTTCTGACTACAGATGTTCACATAGCTGCTGGAACAGCAGTAATACATGAGTTAGGAAAAGATTGTCATCACTTAATCTCCCAGATCCCTGCTTTAATCTTCAAAATTAAGAGCCAGCTGTAGACAGTATATTTTGGAGATAATGGAATCGTTTAGCAGATGGAAAAAAAGGAGACACATCTTACTAGCTTCACTGCATTTGTCTACCTAAGTAAAAAAAAAAGTTCTTCCATGATGTGAAGGACAGCACATCTTGGAATCATGTTTCTCAGGCCTTTCGAAATTTTCCTGTAATACTTCTGCAAAGTAGATTTTGTTGGTATGAATTTAGAACCTGTGATACCATGTTACTGTCTTTGACAACACAGATGCAAACAAGCTGAGATGGGTTTTCTTCTGTAAGTGATGCATTCACTGACAGTGCTGCAGTGTTTTCTGTCTCCATCAGTAAGATTATCTAAGTTCTGCTGAGCTTTGTATATGATCCCTACCGTATTTCAGCACTTAGCACATGAACTGAATTTTCTTGAACTTCTCTAAGGAGGTAAACTTGATCTTCTCCTGAAGTCTATTTCAGTGGCTAAGATAAAAGAGTATTTTCTTTTTTTTGTACCATTTTGTTACAGAAAGTAATCTTTTTCTTCATCTTTATCATGAACACTGACATTTTCTGCTTTTTTGTGTATCATAAAATTCTTTAAATGAAAGACATCTCACTGGGATTGTTTTTTCCCTCTCATGTTCACAGGAGGCTTCTTGCTTACTCAGGACTGACCTACGAATCAACTTTACATACTCATGAGCTAGTGTCTCCTAAGCAGAACTCAGAAGCTTATTCTGTGGCATCACAGGGACTATTGGAAAATGTAATTTCTCTTTCTTTGAATTTTTTAATCACACCAAAATGGGAAGTTTATGACTAATAATGTCTGAAAAGTCTGCAGCTCAGCAAATATAATCCCATTGTTTGTCTTAACTAATTCCCACAAAAATATTTTCTTCTTTGCAAATTCTTTTTTTTTTTTTCTTTGCCAGAACACAGCCATTATAACAGCCTAATGAATGTCTAACAAGGATGAATATGTGTTCATGTGATCATCTCAGTTTTTGTCAGATCTGTGTCTGGAGTTTTTAAAATGTTTTTCTTCATCAGTTTTCCCCTTGAACTCTTCTGGCTTTCCGATTTCTGACATCAAAGCACCAAGACTGTTTTCTCTAATTCATCTCCCCCTTTAGTTTCTGAACCAAGAAAAAAATTACTGGCTGGATGCTTTTTCCCATTTGAGGTGCTCTTCATGATGCAGTCCAATCTTTGGAACAAATTCTGTAGTGTGTAATGGTGATGCCTCCAAGATCTAAAAAGCCCCAACCCACTCTGCTTCATCCTGATCTTACTTAAATGCTTCAAAGTACAGTTTCTCAGGGGAAGAATTAAATATGAGTCTGTCACAAAAAATTTTACTTTTGCCTTAAGCTGTAGATTCCAAAGCATCTACTCACTATTCTACCTCTCCACAAGAGAATCCAGCCCATTGATCTTTAGCTGACAATTTGCTTTTTTAGTCCCACCCTCACTCAAATACTCCAATATTTTGCAATCACCTTCCTCCAATATGCAGACCCCTAAGAAGAGCTTCTAAAGATTTCCTGTTCTTTAGATGTTACACAAAGAAGAATAATTCTACCAAACAAGATGGCACTTGTATGTCTGGCTGTAGTAATGCAAATCAAGAGTTTAAAAGAAGCCATTTGTTGTGGTTTTATTCCTGCCTCAGGCAGTTTTAGACAGCATATATCAATTTTCCAGAAACTTGTCAACCTCAGGAATGATTTAGTGTGCTGTTAAACATAATAAAATCAATAGGAAAACAAATAGAATTTCCATGAGGAGCAGACGGTTGGAGAAGCTTGTCCATATGGCATATAGACATGCTGGAATTTGGGACTTTCTGGGGTACTTGAGTTAGAAAATTTGTATGCCGAGCAAAGGTAATGCATAATTCAGGAGAACAAATACTCTAACAGCTTTGTGGTAGTGCATCTTGAACTTGGTGTCTGTATTTATTTAACAACAAATACACTTAGAAACTCTATGCCTGGAAGCTACAAACCAAACATGAATCATATTTGCCTCATTTCAGAGCTTTATATAAGGAGCCTCACCCGCTCTGAAGTGAGTGCCGAGTTCCTGGTTCAGCCTGAATAGCACCTTTTGCTTTTCTAGCCTCCCTGAGGGTGATTTATGTAGCTACTTGGCTTTGCTTAAGGACATCCAACTTCACAACTATCAGTCCCGTAAGAAAGTGGAGGGAACCTTCTAGAGGTTTGAGAGCACCTCAGTCTGCTGGTCCCAGCTGTTTGCCCTCCTCACAGGCATGTGGAATCTGTAAGTGTGCTTAGAAGTGCTTCATCTTGAGAAATCCATGTGAATCCATACCTCCTAAAGCTTCAAACGTAATTGGTATGGCTCTGCTGCTTACAGCAAAGCCCAGTCACTAGAGTTCTAGAGAATTTAGGTTGCTTGTTTCCACTTGAGCCTCTAAATTGTCCCTTCAGAGGGTGCTGCAACAGTGTGCTTGCTGTGGGTACCTCCTGCCAGGAGGCTGTTGAAGAGTGCTGCTTATTCTGGTTTCTCTAGGAGTTGACCAGTTGCTTCTATCTAATCTGTGTTGGAACTTTGACAGGTTGAGTATGTTTCCAGATGGACATGAGTCACTTGTGACAAGTCAACCTGTTCTCATAAAGCTTTTCTGCTACTGATGGCAATTTCTAGAGAGCTAGAGTGGGATAGCAAATAATTAGAAGTCTCTATAGTGTGTCACTATAGACTTCACTATAGCTTCTGCAACTTGGTGGATCAGCAGTCAAAATTATTCAGCCTGGAAGGGACCAGTGCTGGAATACTGCTTCTGTGTGAGCTTATACAATGGGGCTTGCTGCTGTTAACAAGTCTGCTGGTTTTTCATGCTGTTCCTACAGCTATTAGGTCTCCCCTGGGCATCTTTCAGCTGCATCAAGCATCCTAAGAGATAATCAATGCTTCAGAAGTGAGAAAGGACTGATGGCCATGTCCAGAGTGGGATGACTCCCATCCTGTTGAGAATTTTGAATCTGAAAGTTCAGAGGAAAGTATACACATCTCATCTCACCTGTTCTCTGTCCCTGACTAGGAGCTAATGAGCTTTTCAAATTGGCCTGCTTACTCCTTGTTTTACTGGCTAGAGTTTTTACTTTATTCGACGACTTCTAGAATTGTAGAAGATTAAGGCATACTCAACACAGCAGTCCAATTAATATAATTGGAACCTAATGGTTCCAATTAGGAACCATTGTTTTGTCTCCCTCTCGTGTTCTCCACAAGGAACAACAAAACAGGAAACACTTAGTAAACTGAGGAGCCACATGATTTCTTTAGCTTTATTAAATCTGATTGAGTTCAGGCTTTTACTTGTGGAGAGTTTGGTTGTCTTCAAAAAGTAATCAAGAGACCACCACCTCAGAAAAGTTAATCAAAGGGTTATTCTCTCCTAATTTTATGGATCCACTTATCCTACTACACTTGCATGTTACTAAATGGAAAGTGTTTTCAGTATGCAAT